ACAATATATACAAATGTCACTAATATCAGTCACGTCTGAAATTAAATCACGTGTTCACACGCCATCTATAGAAAATCGCTTCAAACCTTTGTTCCAACCATACATTGTGTTTTATTTTGGTGTAAGGATTAGTGTGGTATCTTTGAGTCAGTGATTGTGGCTAGCTAAGTTTGAGTATAAGACAGATGAAGACCAGCTTTCCTCATCCCCCACTTTGGCTTTGGGCCATATTTGTACATATTGGTACAATAAATATCATTATACAAGCTGAGGCAGAAATACCTCCCATATTTTAAACTGTCACCTGTATGATGCTAAGGAATTTGGTAATTGGTAATAGTGTCTTCATCTTGCTGTCTTACCATTTTTCCCAGATACCATCAGTTATCATCATGGCTTGAGCCGGTGCACATCGTTTGTTTTCTGTTGAAACGTTTTTTTAAGACTGGCGAATCTTTAATTGCAACACAGGGAGATTTTCGTGTTTATTCCATGTTACGTCGAAATGATGCTGTTCCGGACAGAAAATCGATACTGTTATAGGTTAAAAATTTCAGGGCTACAGGTTGAGCGCTTGAAAGAAAGCCACCTTGAAGACCTGGAAACGCTCGAACTCCAGAAGATGTTCTGGATGATGGAAAAGTTTAGAAATCGTCTACAACAGTTTATGACTAATAGAAGCCATCATTTGATGAATATCATTTCTAAAATGAAATGAATAAAAACTGCAGCACTTTATTTAGACAACAGTTAAATGCATCTTTAATAGTAGTTACACTAGTCGTTTTCTCAATCTTTTAAAATGTGGGAGGTATTTCTGTCGCACCCTGTATATGAAGCTTGTTTTGATCTTAAACTAATTACTTTCAAAGGCAGGCCCAAGTTTTTATACGTTGAGTGTATTGATTTGTCTGAAAGCTTCGGGCTAAGCCTAATTACACTAAGGGTAGAGAAGATTATTGCAGTAAAAAGTAGTTCCATGGCCAATAGTGAAATGGATATGGGGAATTATCTGTGCAAATGAAGTTTACCTATATTTGCAATATTTTCTTACTTTTCCAATTTAGCTTTAATGGTCTGTCCATTGTGTTTAACTTGTAAGGAGAACCGCATTTTGTCAGCACAGTTTTTGTAGCTTGCGTTTATTTCTGCTGAGAAAGAATGTTTTACTTCACATTGTGTAAAATAGGTCTTTCTTTATCTGTCTATATTTGTGAGATGAAGTATTCTACCTATTTGCACTATTTACATTCTTAGGCCTGTTGTCTTCATCTTTATTTCCATATTCACGAAGTTTCGGCCGTTGTATGCTCCGGCCGTCTTCAGGTGATATACGTTGGAATTTCGAATCGAACCCTTTATTTAGTTCACGGGTTTAGATTGTTCAATTCTTGGCCACAGCAGAAGAAACAAAAACTTGGATTTGAGTTATTAAGGGGAATTAATTGAAACTGGGATATCCAAAAAGAGCATGGCCTCTGGAATTAGAATTTATAAATCAGTAAAAAAAATACTCAAAAGCAAATTATAAAATGAGTAGGTAAGTGTTATGGTCCGGTTCCTTGTACCATGGTGATAGTCCAAGGTAGAACCAAAAAAGAAGAACTCGAACACAGGTATGGAATAACACCGATATATTACAAACAGGAATATATACAGAAAAGTAGAAGTGTTAGTATGAGCAATCAGGTTTAGTAGAGAGAACAATGTAGTCTCGACCAGTATCACTATTCCAATGTCTTGCAGTAATTGTCTGAACGCGACTCTGTTTCAGACTGCCTCTGACTCGACTCTTGACTCGATTGAACTACTGACTCGACTTGAACTACTGACGATATTCAGTCACCACCCCCCTGGGGCAGCATGTGAGACAAGGTCGGTTATTTATTGTGGGCATTCCGAGCCCGTGGGCTCAGCCGAAAAATATGCCCATTGAACCCGTATAAACGGGCTCAGTGCCGGTTTACCTCCCCGAACGAGACTCCGCCCCTCGGCGTAGCCTCGTTCGGGTTCCTCCCCGCCCGAAGGCAGAGAGTTCAACCGAACAGTCGGTCAAGACTTGAACTACTGACGATATTCATTCACCACCCCCACGAGGGTGTCATGTGGCACAAAGGCCTTTTTAATGTGGGCATTCCGAGCCCGTGGGCATTCGAGCCCGTGATAAATCATATATAATAAACCCATTGAACCCGTATAAACGGGTTCAGTGGCCGGTTTTACCTCCCCGAAGGAGACTCCGCCTTCTTCGGCGTAGCCTCTTTCGGGTTCCTCTCGTCCGCAGGAAGAGAGTACAACCGAACAGTCGGTTCAGACTTGAACTACTGACTCCTTGCCTACTCCTGAGGCGCAGTATTTCTTAAGTATGGAATAGTCCATTATTATTATTATGGGTAAGATCCCATAAAAGTAAGCAACATTTGAAGTTTTCTTTTGTTGTTGCCATTCAGTTAATATTTGGTAATGCAGACGTTTTCAAAACGTAAGGCTTTTATCTAAAGTGGTAAAGGTAATTATATTTGACAAACGAAGTAAAACAAAATTTTGAGAAAAGAAATCTAGACTATTTGCGTGAAAAAAATATGAAGGTTTTAATTTTTTAAAGATGCGGAAATATCCAGAGACAAATAAAATCACAGGTAAAGAATGCAATGCAACAGATACCGTCATCCAGATGTTGATATTCTCTTAAAAGCTGAGTCTTGTTTTAAATACACAAGATAAAAATGTTCTATACATCAGCTTAAATGTCGGACAGATGCTTAGAAAATCTAAATTTCGATATTCGCTGTAACCAATGAACATCCCGAATGATATCTTTTTCTTTTTTTAAACATTTCACTCCAAGCAAGGTGATAATGTCACTAAGAAACAAGAGGTTACTGAGAATGAAAAAGGAATAAGAAAAAATTCTCGAGGAGAAAGGTCAATAAAAGAACTGTTTTCAGGAAAAAAGAAGATGGCGATTGACGTTGCATGTAAATTTTTGAAGATTGTAGGTGACAGGGAATAAACAAAAACCAGAGGATATTTCCACAGGCGGGAAGTGTGAGAAAAGAAACTATTAAAGTAGAACCTACGGTTACATCTAGCTATTTCAACAGTAAAATGATGAAACTTAATTACCAATCTAGTGGTACACTTAAATTCATGTAGTCGAAGTACCAAGAATGAGCGCATATTAGAATAACTGCCATGAAAATATTTATAGAAAAGACAGGAGGAAGTAGCATTATGGCGGCCGGAAATAGACTGAAGCCGAGATTCCAGGGCAGGACCGATAATATTACAGACCCTTCTTTGTATTTTGTTGCAAATCTCGAGAGATATGCCATATGCAGAGACGAATGGTAGATTTATAAACGTGCAAGATAGATTCTGGCGAGAAAAGTGTCTAACACGACACACCTAACTCTAATTATTCTCTTAGCGTAGATTAGTCCGATACAACGACTTTGTGATAGGCCGCCTCTGGATACTGAATGCGCAAAATTTGGCTCTACAGAAGGATACTGAGAATATAATGAATAGAACATGTAAGCAACGATGAAATCTTTGGGTAAAGGGAAGTAAAAATGACACTCAGAATCTGAAAGAGACAGCTGAAATTTATTGGACACAATGAGGAAGTAGGGCATCGAGAATTTGACACTCACAGGAGATATCGAAAGCAAAAGGAACAAGGTGTGTCTACGGGTACACTACCTGGCCAACTTATGCGAATGGATGTCAGAACGAGAGATGGGAGTGATGGCAAAAAGATAAAAATTTACTAATCAATAGAAAGTCGTGGAGAGCAATGATCGCCTACGCCCTGAAGGATTAATACATAGAAGAAGATATTAAGGAACTGGAATGCAGCGTAAGTTGCCGATAGTTTTCACATTTTTGTTTATTTTTTTCTGTTATCATGTCAATAAAAACAGCATAGCTTAATAAGTTTAAGAAAACGAGAATTAAAATCTAATGTCCAAGAGAAAACCTTCAAGCAAGAATGGAAAAAAAAAACGTCTATTTTATCAGAGATTTGAACTTTCGTTAACGGACAAAAATAATTCGGTTTTTCTTCGTTATCTTTTGTCCACTCATATTTGTTAACTGTGATTTTGTTATCAGTATTTTGTTATCTCTAATTGCGCATGCGTGAGCTCACGAATATCTCGGTAATTCAAACTCACTCTTGTCAGTTGTTTATGCTGATAAAGGGAGAACGAAGTTCAAAATTTCGTTCGCCGTTTCGCCATGCACACGACAGAGGCGCTAGACGTTTCTTATTCGGAGTTGAAAAACGTCCTGCCCGAAAGGAAATTGTACAGAACTTGAGATGTACCTCAACAAAAATGAAGAACAATCCGTTCTTATGACATTAGAAATCTGTCGCAAAACTTTCGTGTAAGAACAGGAATTTGGTGAGAATACATGCTATCATCCGTTACAACGGAAATTGGGAAGTGCAATAGGAATGGTTGACAAATAACGAAGAATTATCAATGATTCTTCTGAAGTGGTTTAAATTCTAGTTTCCTTAAGGAACATCTTTCATGTGCTGTGTTCCTTCCGTAAGTAGACGATCATAGTCCTAAGCAATGTTTGGTCCAAAATTATCACTCCTACTGCCTGTTCTGTCATCCATTTACACAAGATCATTAGGTAGGTTACTGGCTGCTTCCCACCGCCTCTTTCGTCGTCAATATGTCCTGTGAGTGCCAGATTTTCCAAGCCCACTTTCTTCATGGTCGGTTACTTTTGTTTAGCGATATATCAACCTCTAATCTAATTCTAAATATTTTGTACGCAATTTTTGTGGGGGGGGGATAATAATGTTTTTTTATGATACAATCTTACTAATTAACCTATAGCTGGTGGAGAAAAGATGGATTCATAACTTTCCCAATGGTATTTGCATGTAAATGAATATAACGACCCCAACTGAGATTGGAACTCGGCTCTCCGAATAACAATACCGAAACATTATTCATTACACCAACTGCACATCCAAGCTTACAGCACCTAGTATTCATCAGCGGTCACCCATCTAGGTACTGACCAGAATCGACGTTCTTTAACTTCGGTGATCGTACGACAACCAGTGTTTCAACGTGATCTGGCCGTAAGCGTTTCCCCTTGAAGTGTCCCAGAAATTTCAATTGTCGCTTTTCTGATCCTAAGAACAGTGTGTCCTTTTCATTTCAATTTTCCTTGAAACTTCCTCGTTGCTCATATGTTCCATTAAATACTATTCTCAATTTTCTTCTATATAACCGTATTTCTATTGAGGCATCTGTGAAGAAATTATCCAGCATTCACTGCCATATTGAAGGGTTGATATTACATGACAGTTGAACACTGATTACTTTGTTTCCAACGAAAGTTTTCCTATTAATATTGTGCTTAATTTCTGGAAGGGATCTTTCACCAATCTTCCGTAGCCCTGGGTATGACGATAAACTACATCCAGCAGCAAGGCCTCTGATCGGAAGATTGGAGGTTTTGAGGAGCGTGGAACCATCTCTTAATTGCTGTTTTTCTCTGGTTCACTCTGACCCGGGGTGGTAGCACCTGTTAGAGTCCCAGCTATGGGAAAATAATGAATCTCAAAACAAAACATTATGAAAGCATAAAATGTTTATAGTAAAGCATAAATTTTTATAGCAGAATACCAGAAATACATTTGTGTACAAAAAATGCCAACAATAAATATTTATAGTATAATTACCAACAACATATTTTATAGGACAATGACCAACAATATATTTTATTTGTAGTTGAAGACAATTGCGTTCAAAATATATTTTTGAAGCCATGAAATTCTTCAAAATATTTAGATTTTGGCATTAAATAACCCATAGAGGTGTTGATATGCCGCTAAACCAAATCAACCAACCAACTTTTTCTTGCCCATAGACCAACATGCTGCCACTTCTGAATTAAGCTGATTTTTTCATATATTTTGATAGCATGCTCTTCCATACTTTTTTATATAAAAAAATTACTAACGATACATATTTATAGTAAAATGACCAACAATACATTTTATAAAAAAAAATTACTAACGATACATATTTATAGTAAAATGACCAACAATACATTTTATAAAAAAAAATTACTAACGATACATATTTATAGTAAAATGACCAACAATACATTTTATAAAAAAAATTACTAACGATACATATTTATAGTAAAATGACCAACAATAATTTTTTAAAAAAAAAAAAAATACATATTTATAGTAAAATGACCAACAATACATTTTATAAAAAAATTAAAATAATGAAATACATATTTATAGTAAAATTACCAACAATACATTTTTATAAAAAAAATTACTAACGATACATATTTATAGTAAAATGACCAACAATACATATTTATAAAAAAAAATTACTAAAATACATATTTATAGTAAAATGACCAACAATACATTTTATAAAAAAAATTACTAACGATACATATTTATAGTAAAATGACCAACAATACATTTTATAAAAAAAATTACTAATGATACATATTTATAGTAAAATTACCAACAATACATTTTATAAAAAAAAATTACTAACGATACATATTTATAGTAAAATGACCAACAATACATTTTATAAAAAAATTACTAACAATACATATTTATAGTAAAATGACCAACAATACATTTTTTTAAAAAAATTATTAACAATATATATTTATAGTAAAATGACCAACAATACATTTTATAAAAAAAATTACTAATGATACATATTTATAGTAAAATGACCAACAATACATTTTATAAAAAAAAATTACTAACGATACATATTTATAGTAAAATGACCAACAATACATTTTATTAAAAAAATTACTAACGGTACATATTTATAGTAAAATTACCAACAATACATTTTATAAAAAAAAATGACCAACAATACATTTTATCTTTCGCTGAAGCCGTAAAACTGTGTCCAATATATTTAGGTTTCGGCATTAAATAACCCATAGAGGTGTTGATATGCCGCTAAACCAAATCAACCAACCAACTCTGCGTTTTCGGATTTCTATGTCACGTTTTCCATCCTCCAAATACCACTTTCGCCGAAGGAACATCAAAGAGTGTATAAGCCTAAATTATTTGATAAAAACAAGAAAAATGAAGATGTTCCTTAAAATGCGTAAAATAATGAAAATACTTGATCACGGAATTTTTGACAGTCTTATGAAATGTTTCTAAAAAGAAAAACTAACAATCTTAATCTCCACTAATTAACCTATACATGCCCACCATAAAACCTAATATTAATTACAAATATCAAAATAAAAATCTGGTATTAATTTCTAAAATAAAATTCTGTATAGTTTCCTACCTATAATCCATTAATATCCACCGTCTCAAAAATGGAGTGATGAAAATGAAAGGAAATTGTAATGGTGAGGATATCCGTTTCCATACTGGTGACCGCTTGAGAAGATAAGCTTGGATGTGCGGGTGGTGTAGTGGATAATGGGTCGGTATTGTTAATCGGAGAGTCGAGTTCCACTTCCCGTTGTGTTCTTTATATTCACTTACGCGCAAATACCTTTTGGACAGGTATTACTCCACCTTTTCTCCCCCAAGTTTAGTAACCCCAAGGTTAATTAGTAAAATTTGTATCACTCAAACTATTATTATCGCCAAAAATATTATTTCCTTGCTTTTCCTGCAAAGGGTAGACAAGCCGTAAAAAACGAATCGATCAATCAACGTTTCAATACTAGAAACAGTCGGCATACATTGACCGAATAGTTAGCCTGACTGTTGGTGAAATTTATGTAATCTGTCTATGAAAAAATGTTTTTCAATAGATTTCTCAAGTTCACTAACTGTTATAGCTCTTTCTAATACTGATAGGAGTTTCTTTCCTCACATTTTGCCGTCACTTGTGCTACACATTTTCATTGCTGTTACTGTTGGAAAGTAGGCTTTCTTCTTTTTAATGTGTCGTGTCCGTTCAGGGTGTAGGTGATAATGGCCCTCCACATCTTCCTCTTAAGTTTTTTTTATTTTTGATATTTCCCTCAAACCCTGTTCTACCACCCATTTACTCAAGTATGTCACGCGTTGCTTTCTTCTGTCCCTCTATCTGTCCTCTGAGTATCAGATTTTCCAAGCCCTCTTTCCTCTTTACGTGTCTCAGAAATTTCAGCTACCAACTTCCTGGTGTTAAGCATAAATTTCCCTCTTGTTTCCATTCTTTTCAAAACCTCGTCGTTACTCACATGTTCGGCCCATGGTATCCTCAGCATCCTTCTGTATCACCAGATTTCTGCTGTCTCCAGTCTCTTCTTCATCTTTGAGGAGATTGTCCAGCATTCGCTGCCATACAGAAGGACAGATATCACGTAACAGTTCAATAGTCTTTTCTTTGTTTCCAACGAAATTTTCCTGTCTCTTCATACTCTGCTTAGCTTTTGGAATGCGTCTTCGGATCTCAGTGTGGCACTCTCTGTTCTCTGTTAGAACATTTCCTAGATATTTAAATTTCTGTACCAGCTTAATTTTAGTGTCCCCGACCTGCAATTAACATTTTGAGCTCATCTTTTGCTGATGACTATGCATTCTGGCTTCTTGTAATTTATGCTTAGTCCTTTCTTCTCGCTTTCCTTCGCTACCTTCTGTAGGAGGTCTTGTTTAGATAGCGAATAACAGACAATAACTCGTAGTAAAACTGTCACGCATTTATTTTCACATTTCCTGATGGCAAGTGAAAATAGATTTTACCGTGGTGCGTACAAGGGAAAATAAATACTGACCAAACTAAAGATGAAAGGGTCAAGTGTAAATTGATGGATATGTGAAGAAGGGATTCATTTCCAAGTTAGAGGAATGCTTCTAAGGAGATTCTGGGAATAGGTCGAGAAAGATATTTGTCCACCCATCAGAATATCGGTAAGGTAAATAAATCAGGGAAATCAAATCGACATAGATATAAAATGTTTTCAGACGAAGAAACTATACAACAATCTCTTTTGGCCCAGATTTACGTGTCAGTATAAAATAAAAGTTAAAGCATACATTCTTAAGAAAGAAAATAATGGCAAACACAGTGAATGGATTCAAATTGTTCAAAGTCAAACAGAAGATTTTCTTATCATTGTTCGGAAACATAAAAATGTCAAACGGACCAAGATGAATTTAGAGATGCCATGAGTGTCAGGAGCAGGTGGAAACTTAAGGTAATACATGCAAAGGAAAATAGGTGGGTTACAGGCAACACCCGGAAATTAGAATGTCGGTTGCTGGAAATTTGTAAGCGTTTTATTAATCTGTTGACCGTATTCGGAGTTGTGGTAACGCCGCCGGTGGCACAGAGGGCTCTATCTTCGGACCTAAATTATTTGTTATCAAAGAGCTTCGCGATGTCATCACTTCCCAACTAGGTATTTATGCAGATAGCTCAAGTATTTACTCCCCAATTAATTGTAAGTCCGATAGGTCCGAGAAAGTAAATCTGGCAGCTACTTTCGGAAAAAACATCCAATCAGTTGTTAACTGGGGCAAGAAATGGCTTGTACATTTTAGCACCTCCAAAAAACAAACTGCTATCTTTTAATCATCATAGTGATCCATTTTGCCCTCCATCAAAATGGCCTATGCTAATCTCCAGGAGAGCAATACATAGCGCTTTTTTGGACTCACGTTTTCCATTGACATAAAATGGAGCGATTATATTGAATATATACTAAGAAGGTTGATTCACAGTCGTGCCAAACAATCTGTCAGATCAGAATCCATCCTGCACATTTATAACATTCGTCAGTGCATTGAATATAATGTTATCAGTTCTAACCTGGTATCTCGACTTCAGTGATTTTCCCCACTAACATGGCGTGTCTTCTCTCTGTCTTTTCTATAAATATTTTCATGGCAATTGTTCTCTTTACGCGACTGTATGAATTAAAGTGTACTGCTAGATTTGGCAGCTAGGTGTCATCGTTTTACTATTGAAATAGCGAGATATAACCGTAAATTCAATTATGATATTTTTCTCGCACTTCTCGCCTGCGGAACTCTCTTCCGATTTCGTGCTTCCTTTCTTCAGAAATTTAACGGAAACGTCAATCACAATCTTATTTCTTCTTGAATTTTGCTCTTTTATTGTCCTTC